TGAATACCTGTCAACCAAATAACTATGTGTTAAATAACAAAGCAACTTTCGGGAGATAACAGGAAAAATAAGCACAAATACATTAGTAGTAGTGACCTTTAATTCACTGTTCTTGGTCTGGGACAGATCAAATGGAAAAACAGTAAGGCTGTAGACAACCTAAACAATTAAGTCAATAGAGTAGATTCGATTAATATATATTGATCTTGATCCTGAAAACAGAGTACCTGTTCTTTTTAGATCTCATGAAACATTTACAAAACCTTCTATATAGGCCCCAAAGAAAACTTCAATAAATTTTAGAAAGGAGAGATACTATAAAAAAAATCGCAATGCAGTAAAAGACCCTTCCACTTGCATATTAAATTCAGTCAACTCTTAGATCAATGGAGACTACAAATGGAAATCGCAAAATATGTAGATGACCATAGTGATGAAAATACAAGAAATATATGTAATCTAGCTAAAGCATTACTCAGAGAAAATTCAAAGCCTTAAATACTTACAAAAAATAAGTAACAAAAATGAGTGGGTTAAGCATTTAACTTAGAAAGTTAGGAAAAGATCTAAGTAAATGAAAAGAGAGTAGAAGGAAGGAATTAATACAAATAAAAGAAATTGATGAATTAGAAAACAAAAAGGACTACTAAACTACTAAATTGGCTGTTTGAAAATAAACAAGTCACTAGCTAAGCTGATCAATTACTAAGAGGAGGGTAGGGGGAAGCAAAACACAAATATATGTAATAAAGACTAATAAACATAAATAGCATAAATTAAAAGAATCGTGAGTCTATGTTGTTCAAGTCTGAAATAATGAGAAAATCCGTAAAGAAAAAAAATTAAAGGATTATCATAGGAAAATATAATTTACAAAAATGACTTTGTATAAAGGAAATTCAAATAGATCAATTTCCATAAAAGATCTTCAAAAGTACCCAGCCCACATGTTTCATGAGAGAATTCTGCTAAATCTTTGAAGAACCAATAATTCCAATGCTGTTATTGAAGTTGTTTTAGAGCATAGAAAAAGAAGGAAAACTTTTTTTATGATTCAAGTGTTATAACATTGGTATCAAAACGTGACAAGATTGCGAAAAGAAGAATAGACTCAGTCTCACAACTCTAGAAGCAAAATTCTGTTAAACAAATGGAATCTAGCAACACGTTAGTAGAAATACATCATGAGAAGTTTATTCAAGGTACAAAAAGATGGTCCATATTAAGAAATCTGTTAGTATAATTTGTTTCAGTGATAGACCTAAGAAGAAGAATCTGTTCATTCTGATTACCTAATAAAAAGCGTTTGACAGAATTTAATACCTGGTCTTTATAAATAGCATTGAATAAAACAGTAATCGATGGCTAATTTCCTTACATTATATATATTTATATCTATATGTGCATATGTATGTGTATTTCAAATCCTAAAGTCATGCTCCATGGTGATATAGTAGGCTTTTCCACTAAAGAAAGGAACAAGAAATCCCACTGTTATTGCTACTGTTTAATATGGTAGAACAAATACTACTAGCCTTTGTATAACAATAACAAGAAGACAGTCTATGTAATAGGGGTGGATTAGGGGTGAGCCACATTTACAAAGAAATCAAAACATAAAATACTTGGGAATAAACAAACCCAATATGTCAAAAAGCTTAAAATAATACTGAAAGATAAAAAAAGAAGACTTAAAAGGCAACATGGTCTTATTGGGAAGATTCTGCATTATGTCAGTTTCTCCATAAATTTATTATTTTTTAATTTTTTTAAATGTTTGTATTTGAGAGAGAGAGAGAGAGAGAGATCATGAGTGGGGATGGGGCACAGAGAAAAGGAGACACAGAATCCAAAGTAGGCTCCAGGCTTTGAGCTGTCAGCACAGAGCCCAATGTGGGCCTTGAACTCACGAACCACAAGAGCAGGACCTGAGTTGAAGTCAGATGCTTAACGGACTGAGCTACCCAGGCACCCCTGACCATAAGTTTATTAATTTGATGCAGATTCAGGAAACATATTAACATTCTCTTTTTTTCTGGAATTAGACAAGAACTATTCTGAAGTTTATGTAGTAAAATAAACAGTAATAATAGCAAAAAAAAAAAAAAA